AAAACCCTCCAGAACTCGCACGGGTTTGGGGAAACAGTCCACCCTATGTGTTGCGGAAAGGGTCCAGTTTCGACTTCAGGATCTTCCCTTGGTCATCTCAAAGAGATGGTCCTCAGAGCTTGATCGTGTGGCGCACGCAGTGGTTCACGGTTCGTGTGATGATCCTCAGTTCGTTCTTCCATACACCGCGAAACGCATCCGTTCTTCCGCAGTACTCTCTCAATGTGGCAGGAGGTTGAGCCGCGACTGGGGAGAGATGCTGCGAAAAGGCGAAGGCGACGACGCGTGGGTTTTATCCACTGGACCAGTAGTTCTTTCGGAAGAAGACACATGAACTGAACAACTTCCAGTCGTTGTGGCGCAAAAAAAAGGGGTTCCACTTCCTGTGGAGGAATCCGTTTTGGAACCAGTTTTTTGTGTTTTTTTCGTTTTTCAGCAGGTCCATGTTCTATCCGGTCCAAAAAACCGAGAACCCGATAGAGAGAGAGAGAGAGAGAAATTCCTTCAGCGAGAGAGACAAAGGGCCCCTGCTTCGAGAGCGTTGCAAACCTAGTTGGAGTGCTTGCCTATAGGGCCTGCTATCACATCATATATCACATCCATATACGAGCACCTCCAACAGGTCACCAATTGAAACCTTTTAGGGCCTAACAACCCTCCAAAGGAGACCTGTTGGAAGGTGCTGGTGTATATATATATATAGATATATGGGAAGTCCAAGACTATGTTAAAGAGTCTGACTGGGTGATCCGATCTTGGACTTTCTTGAAACCTTCGCTGGTGCCCCAAAACAGTCGGTTCCTGGACTTTGGCCTTTACATGACTTGACATGATTCTTATGACTTCTCTTTTGCATAAGGCCTTTCTTGTGTCGGTAGCAGCTCACTCGTCCGAGAAAAGACGCATTTGACCTGCTTTATGTGCCGCACATGATCTGCTGGTAGATCCGCACTTTGGCCGATCTGCGAAACGGATCGTCACATCCTCCCAAGCTGCTGAGTTCAAAAAGAAAAAACCACCAAGCTGCGAACATGGCAAAAAGTAAGACGTTCTTGAGGTGGTATCATGGTTACAGTGGTTTTCAATTGTGTTCCAACTCATTTTTGGAGCTAGCCGGTCATAACCTCAAAACACAGTGGTGGGGATTGATCAACCCTTGCTGACGTGACATCAGCAGCTTCCTAGTTGAGTTGTGGTCTGGACCAATGCACGTTGTTTGCCTCCCTGTTCACATGCGGACCATGGTGGCAGCACAACTGACCTTCAGGTAGGACAAAGTCCCTAGGCATTCTACTCTGATGCTCCCAGGCAGATACACTTCCCGAAAAAGAATCCTGGAAGTGGAGTGAAAACCACCCATTGGGTTTTCGGATTGGACAAAAAGTCATCCGAATTCAGGAACTGTTTTCCATCCACCATTTCAGGGAGTGTATACCTGAGGCTTCCAACCACCATTGATTTAAAGGTTACCACCGAACAACCATTGTTTTACTACGGAATTACACTACACCACCAGGTCAACCATTCTGACTAGCTAGGTCTAATCGTGTGTTAGGAGTTTCCGAAGAGGGTGCAAAGCGGTTCTTTCACGAAAAAAGGAAGTCCTGAGGTACAGAACCTGTCCTCCTACCACCAGGTACTGCCACTGTTCGGTTCTTCTTCGCTTGAACTCTCAGGGATTGGACACGCACCAGTTTGGTTGCGTCTTCAGGGTGTCCCACCGACCCACCAAGGGCCAGGGCATCCCAGTGACTTGAGCAGCGTGGCCTCGAACCCCAAAAAAGCAGCAGGACGGACATGGCGACATCCACATTTTTCCGGTGGCTGGCGGTCAGTCAGGTCAGGCAAGCGCTGCAAACAAATGCAGTTCCGGACGTTTGGGAAGAAGCGCAGGATGGACATATTGAAAGAGGGCGACCCCCCGGACCTCGTGCAAGAGGAAGACATGCAAACCTTGTTGAAGAGGGGCCTTTTATTTACTGATGGTCAGAGTTTGGTGTTTTCATTGGCAACCACCCATCTGGAGGTGTTTTTCCTCCTCCAGATCGGCCCCCAGCGGCTTCCATGGCTGGATTTGTGTTCACCGCTTCTGGTGCAGTGTTTTGGGCTCTGTGCTCCTCATGGGAGTCTTCCTCCGGTAGATGTCTGGACGGAGCGTATCGGGATACGTTCAGCTGAGAACATCAAAAGAACGGAAAAGCGGGAATTTCCTTTACCAACCAACAGAGGTCAAGTGACCTTATAGGGTCCTATAGGATAGCCTACTTCGGGATCTTCAACCTCTGCTGGAAGGAAAAGGAAAAGCATAGCAGCATTTATAACTCTAGTACTGTCTTCTCTGTCGGACTCCTGATGGGAAAAAACAACTCTGATCTCACACATCACATGGTTACCTGGGTTTGGCATGACCCCTCCAGGACGACGACGATCGTCTCCTGTAACCAGGTCCGGTCGGTGAGCTCCACGTAACCACCACCATGTCGGACGTGTTCGGTGACCGGACGTGTAGAACCCGTCGTTCACAGTCGTCACCGGTGCCGCTTCGGTGGCTCCGAACGAACAGAACCATGGGGATCATGCTTGGGAGGCCCCAACAACTCATCATGAGAAGTGGTGGGAAGTATCTGCAAGGTTGGGTGGGAAACCAACAAAAAGACCAGAACACAACCAAAAACCAAACACCAAGCAGAGACCAGCAGTTCCATGTCTGGGTGTTCAATGATAGGATGATGGATTTAGGGGGGCTCCATCTAAGATCCACTCACGTGTACGTCTTTTCCGTTCCCTTCGTTTGGAACGGCTGGTCGATGGCTCCGACACGAGCCCCTTGGTCCGAGGTCTCTTTGACCCTCGAAAGGGTCGACTCGCTCTTGGAGGCTAGCTGCCACCCCTATCGAAGGTGACCTGAGAAGGTGGATCGATCCGGGTTGGTAGGCCCCCAGCTGTAGCGCGGGAACTGGAACATGGGACCCTTGGTTCTTTTCAGTGCATATCCTGAAAGACAGATCTGACATGAAATGGCGAGGGTGCGAACAGAAGGGCCATACTGCCCATATTTCCAGGGAGAGATCCTGAGATTTAGGGTTTCGGAATTGGGTCTATCCGGGACCATTTCTGGGAAACTATGGGAGGTGAAAATCGTGGTCTCCTGTAAATTTTCCCTTCAACCAATCCCTTGACGGGGAGTTTCCGTTCACCACTTGCTACTTATGTGATCTCACATCAACTGGGGCCCAAGGGGCCCCAGCGAATGGAGTTTGCCTGAACTTGTGGCTGAAATTGCCATGTCGCTTGCCTTGTTTTTCCCCAGATCCCTTTTTGGTGCGCCTGAGAGCTGGCGGCTTTGTTCGTTTTCTGTTCAAGTATGTAGGCGTCCGTCGCGAGGAACCACAAATAGTTATATACCAGAATTCCTGGTTGAGCATCCTCCCGCACCAGCAATCGGTGCACCAAAAATCGGCGGCGTTTGCTGCAGATCCTGGATGAAGTTCTTAGAGACGCTTGCTGGTCGACAGTCAACTTGGCCAAGGTGGTTTTGGACCCTTCCTTTAACCAAGCTGGACGAGATGGCATAAGGCTCTGAAAAAGACCCGCAGCGCAGAAGTGGCGAAGTGGCGCCGTGATGCAAAAGTGATGGGATGAGTTTTCATGATCCGTCCCAGGAAAAGTAGACCTAAAACAAAAGAGCCTATTCATGATTATTTCATCTCATTTGGGCTTTAAAGAATCTGCTATGCGATCATCTCGTTGAAGTGGACCTTTGGAGGATCCCTGAAAAAAATGCTGGGAACGCCCAGCTTTTCGCGGTCGTTCTTTTGTTTTCTCCGCTTGGGGCCCGGCCCTTTGGGGCCGCTGGAGCGCTCTCCTGCGGTGTTACTGCAGGGATCAGCGGGAGGCGGCTTCGTCTGGTTCTGAAGAAGGGTCCATGGCGTCGTCAGATTTCATCGAAAGTAGTTGAGGGGAAGACGATACTTTGCCTCAGGGAAGGATTCAAGAAGTTCTCGACATCAGGTATTCTAATGAAAGACAGTTCTTTTTTTTTTTTGTCTTTTCAAATGTAGTCTTTGATGCTTTTGGGTATAGCTAACCTCTAGCTACCTATCGATCTATCCACCTCTGAATATCTTGCTCTATATAGATATAATATATATATACTGCATGTCTCTCTCTCTCTCTCTCTCTGGTTCGCTTGGTAGGAGGGTCTGAAGCCAACCTGGCTTTTAGGCCAGAGCCGCGTGCAGTGCGGAAACCAGCTGGGTGACACCGAGCTGCCCACAACTCTGGAACCCGTCGCAACACAGAAACCTGACCCAGTGCATCCACTATAGCTGGTAACCAGTGGTTCCAAAGACTAAACCCATAGACCTAGAATCCCTGGTTCCTTATATAGTGGTAACTGGGATCCACTGGGTGACCGATCCTTGTGACGGATCCTTGTGACTCTCTGTGACTCCGGGAACTCTCGATAGCCCCGATGGAAAAGCACCAGCTGCGGCCACGAACATGTGTTTGCGGTTTTTGAGCTCGTTCGGGCTACCGGTTCGAACACCTCGAGGTGATCACTACGTGCATACCGACAGATCTGTTCAGACCGTGGGTGATCTTTCTGCCGAACTTGGCTGGATTCATGGATGAAACTGCAGTGACTCTGCATGTCGTTGGAAGATCCAGGTATAGCTTGTAGCCCTTCTCATGTTGCATTTTCTCGAGGTCCGGTGCCAAAAGAGGCGACCTGTTCGGAGCAAACAGGCGAGTTTTCGGGCTTCGGGGTCAACATGACGTGCGCATCGCGCGCGCAAAAGCCTCCCCTCGCCTTGGCCTGGCTGAAGAGGAGGAAACACTCAGGCCATTATATAACCGACAGTTTCTGCGTGTGGACCGTGCCATAAAGCTGCAGACGGACCAATTTTTTGGAAGCCGACTGATGGACTATCTCGTATCGTCATGTCTTTTGGGGTGGAAGTTACAATGAGTAAGTGGCAATGGCACACCGTTAGCTTCAAGTGGCACTTCTGGAGAGTGGCCGCAATGGTCTATACTGATGCGGATGGCAAGACCTTTCTCTACATTCTCTATTTAGCACCTCGGCGAGACGACCCAGACTCTGATTTTCAGTCCAAGATACCCTCCCCTTGCAACCGTGGAAGTGGAAAAAAACAGACCTTTCCGAGAGGAAAAAACACGTCTTTTCAAGGTGCCATTGGTATCATATTCTAGGAAGCGTACCAAGACTTCATATTCCGGCAGAACACAGCACATTGGATGTACCAATTGTGGTGTTTCCCCACCTGCGAGGCGAGGCTTGTTAGATTTTATCAGAGCTCTCCTCCTCCTCCTCACCTTTCTCCTCAACCGCCAGCTCCTCAACCGCCAGTGGGCACGACCGGACCCAACGGCAAGCGCCAGATGGCAGTGGGCACGACCGGACATCAACTGCAAGCGCCAAACACACAAACACACACTCTGACATTGGTTTTCAGTTAACTCAATTCCCAGGTGGAAGGAAGGTGAGAGAACCGCATGGCGAAAGGTCCAATAATTTGTAGGTGTTTAAACAAAAGAGTTTCTCACTTGACTGCGGTGACATGCTGCAAAACGCGCGGCTGCTGAAAGCGGCTGAAGGAAAAAAGGTTTAGGGGAAGTATCATGAAGGACTATGAATCAAAACATGGAAAATGGAGTCACAGCTTAATCAAAAGTTGCGTCGCAGGTACAGGAAACTGGCCAAGTTTCCCTTCCACTCTTATCCACAGCTTCGTTGCGTGTGATAGGAAAAGAGTGTCACACGCCCCTGCATATGCAAGAAAACAAAAGGAAAGGAACTCTTAGTAACAGAGGTTGACACACACACACAGCCACAAGTACAACCACGCATACACAGCGACAAACACACAATCACAAGCGCACAGCCACAAAGATACAACTACAAACGCACAATCAAAAACAATCAGCCACCAACACACAACCACAAACATACAACTACACACACACAACCATAAGCACACAGCCACAAACACAACCACAAACACAACTACAAACACACAACTACAAGCACACAATCACAAACACACAATCACAAACACAACAACAAGCACACAACCACAAGCACACAACCACAAACACACACACACACAACCACCAACACCCAACACAACCACAAAGACACAATCACAACCACAGCCACACACGCAACGACAAAAACACAACCACAAACACAACCACAAACATACAGCTACAAGCACACAGCCAAACACACACGACCACAAACACAACCACAACTACAAACACACAATCACAACACACACACACACGAACAAACAAAATCAAAAAATCTACACAAAACCCGCGACCATGGCAACATGCTCTTCACCATGGCATGGAAACAAATGATTGACATGTCATGGTGGGGATCACTCGAAGTAAAACATCTTTGCGTGCAACTGTCGAAGTGTTTGCCCGATAGGATTCCAAGCACCTTTGATTTTAACAAGTTTTGCCGATTAAGAACTGTTGTGTGTACTGAGTTTAGACCCTCAAACTACAAAAATCAGCCCAACCTTTCCTGGTCCTTAATATTGGTCTTGGAAGGCTTGGGTGAAATTTTGGCCTCCCTGGATGAAGCAACCAAACTCGATGATTCTCATACCGGCGTAGTCAGGCACTTTCTGGGAGAGTCTTTCCGTGGTAGATGTCCCACATCTGCCAGTGAGTTTGATTCACCTTTGACTTCGCACGTTCTTTCTTGATTAGCCTGTTTCTCGCACATGAGCAACGAGTTCCAACGAGGATCTCCTGGTTCTTGAAAAACGTCCGGACGAGGGGACATGATTCGTCCGGAGCTGAGGAGAGCTTACAGCTGGATCCCTCTGCAGCCCGGGGGCCCCAGCGGACCGCGCGACACCAGGGACGCGCGAGGGGATGCCACGTCGCCGGCGCCCCTAGGGCTGAGGTCCCGGTCGCCTGGTGCACCGGCAGTCCGACCACGCACACCCATCGCAAAACGCCCGGTGGTGCGACCCGGCGATCCTTCCTCAATCCTCGGAATCGGGCTGATGGTCTCCATCGCGCACGGGATCCGAGAACTCGGATTCTCGGTCAGCGCGGGATTCTGAAGAGGAAGCGAAGCTTTGGAAGCTTCCCCAGACCAGTGGATCCAGGAAAACCACTACCAACAGGTGCTTCCTGGTGACAAGTCCGGTGCCCAGGTTCACCACCTGTTAGGGTCTCCAAACAGCTGAAGGGTCCTGGTATATTATAGTAGTAGGTAACTCGTGGTTCCAGTTCGACTAAAACCGTAGACCAAGAGAGAGAGAGAGAGAGGCCAGCTTTTCTCGTGGCTGTTAGTTCGGTGCTTTGAAACCCAAACTTGGAACCCCCCCAAATTACACCGATCTGTGCTTTTCTCCGCAGGAGTCAGACCGTCGGCCTGACCCGACCTGCATCCTTTTGAGCCGGACGTCCGGCGCCGTCGGTTCCACCGGTCGTTTCCACCAATTCGGTCGTTTCCGTCGCCGTTTTGGTCCGCTCCCACCACCGGTTCGGTGTCGGAGGCGGACTATCTCGGTTCGGAGGCGGTGCGGCACCCAGTGGGCGGTTCTGGGAGGTTCTCACTCTGGAGGTTCTCTCGTTAGCTTGTTTTCAACGTTCTTAGTGGATTTGGCGGAATGACATGGAAAGTGGACCAGCTTTTCTTGGAGAAAGGACTTGCGTTAAACGATCCTCATGGCTTCCAAGCCGAAGCTCCCATTCAGATGAGCTGATCCTCATGGTGGTTGATCGAGTCTCTCTGGCCGCCAGCGAGGCGGATGACCCGGTAGACGGGTAGACGGGTCGATGCTCCCGGAGGAGGGGTCTGGACTCGGATGTGAGGGACCCATGGTAGACGCTTGGAAGATGTGATGAATCCAGACTACCACCCTAAGAATCCTTGGGCTCTCCATGGGGTCGGACCCGACCTCTTAGGAGGGGTCCGGGCCCGAACCAAACCCTATGTGTTTGAGGGTCCGGATTCTTAGGGCAGGACCTTCCCACCATTTGAGATTCCAGAATGAGGTTAGTTGGGGGAACAGGCCACTGACCCAATAGTGATCCATTTGGTCACTGAAAATGTCAGGTCCAGCGTCACGAAAAGGAGTAGTCGGACCCCCGACCTCTCTCCCGAACAACTGAGGCGATCTTTTGGTATGTCGGCGATGGCGCACAATACCATTCCTCTCAGCCACTGGACCTCCGTCCGCGCGACGTTCGCCCGACTGGTGAGGAGCGAGGGCATGGCCATGGGGAGAATCCATGGCCACTCTAGATTCATCACCACCCAGACGCTCCAAACAGTCCTTGGTCCCTCACCTAGGGAATTGAGACCCCAGACCCCTCCAGAGGATTCGACCGCTCCATATGAGGGCCCAGGGTCGCGTCTGGGCAGGACCTGACTTCAAGTATCGACCAGAAAGTGGGACATGACCCCGAACCCAAAAACCGTTTTACACTTCAGTGACTCTGCGGGGTCCCTGAAGATGAAAAGGATGGATCCTGGTGTTGTAGCTGGTGTAGGTCGTGTCAAATCCTAGCAACATCACAGATAATTCGGTGTGCCAACCCTTGCAATCAAGGTGGGGCCAGGAAGCGATTAACCGGTGACCCGAGGTTGAACACCCGAAATCCGACGTGAGGGGACCCTTTGTTCGCCTTCTTTTCAGTTGGAAGCCAGCCAAGCCCCGGAACTGACTTGATTAGTGATATAGGAAAACAGACTTGGAAATAACCGCTGGGACGGAATTTGCCGATCAGCAAAAGAACCCCGAAGCCATGTCAATCTACCCTTCCTCTTACCCTGGTTTTTCTTAAGGTTCTGTTTTCTTAATTTCCATATTTTTGGGGAATATGTTCTACCTGGAACCCGAAACAACCAGAAAGAAATTGATGTTTTCCCAAACAGCCATTTCCAATGTAAAGGATTTCAAGCTGTCAAGCAGTTGCAAGTAAGGAACTAGTTAAAATCGAGTTGTCCAAGAGCCATGACTTCTTTATACAGTCTGTTATCGAGTAAGAAGTTGCCAAGAAATTTGATCTAAAATATCAAGAGAGAAGATATGTAGAAAGAGAGAAAGAGAGGGCGGAAGTGAAGGAGTGACAGTGTGGATGCGCGGCTCCATACAAGACTTTGATATCTAAAAAGATCTTCCCCGCTCTACTCATCCCTCGTTTTCCCTCCCCTTGCAAGATTTCTTGTTCAAATCGCAAGCCGCTGTCCCAAGAGGTAAAAGCAACACGGAGTGAGGAAAGTGAAAGCAGACTTGGAAAGCAAATTGGCCTTCAAGATGGCCCTAGAAATAAGATACAAGACTTGAGCAGCCCCTGTTTGCCGAGGCAACAAAAAGATAATCATGCAGCATTGACACACAAACATAAACCTAAACGAGAAGCGTACCACATCGTTAAGAGATCGCTCGAGCCGATTCGAGATGTGTACCAAGTTCATGTGATCATGTGATCCACTGTGAAACTTAGCCTTCTTGTCTTGTGATGTTCTTGCTTTTTAATAATCGCGCGTAAAGCCCTAGTCCGCCTATGTATTTAAGCGCGGCGAAGCTGAAGGTGAAGGTTTTAGTGCTAGGTCCAAGTAGTGACAATGCTATATGTCGCACGCCGATCGCATTGCATGACCGATCGATTGTCCTTGCTTCTTCGCCGCGTTTGGCTCTGAGGTAAAACTTGAGCCTAGTGACTCGACCACATTGCATGCCCATGTCACGCACCACATCTACACACCTACACACAGATTCAAAGCCCATATACAGGCGCGCAACCAACACCACCACACAAATCTGCACTACTCTACGATGTTCTTTACATTGCATCACATTCCCCTCTTCCTGTTTTCTCCTTCTTCTTCGCGATGGCTTTCTCCTGGTGCTCGGTGTCCGAGGAGGCCAGGCCAGTTGGCTTTGGAGTTTAAATACCGCCTTACTTGGCAGAGGAGTTTTGGGTTTGGGGAACGCACTAGGTTAACACTTTCTCACTGGCCGTTAAACGCCACAGTTTGCGCGCCGCTTGAGTTGAGGTCTTCCGTGAAATGGGGGCGCAGGCGCGGGATCTTTTGCTTGACGCTTTGGCTTTTGTCCAGTCACTCGTCCTGTGCAGGTTTGGCCCCAGTCGAAAGCTCAGTCGCCCTGCTGACGCTGTCTATCCCCGCGTTGGGTTTCTAATTTGACGCAGGTGGACCTTGTACCTTTTGTGCTGCCCTGTGGCTTGCTCAGCGAACGTTGCGTTGAGCGGTTTGCGAATTGGTTCCATATTCTTTCAAGTGAGGTTCCTTCATGGAACGCGGATGCACCCTGGGCAGCACAGGTGAGGGCGGCAGGTGTTCTGGTTCCGCATTGGTTTCGTCGTTCCCCATTGGCCAAGTGCCGCGCCTGTTCAGGCACACCACATGATCGAGGAAGAGGCCAGGGCCCTGTGAC